GATTTACACAAGCAGGGGGCTTTTGTCGCTCACTGATTCGCATAACAAGAACAAACACACCGAAGTGAGGAATTTTACCACAACCAAGGTTGCAACCCGGGCTTAGTGGATTGTTCCTACTGCCGCCAACACTGCGCCCCGGGCCACACCACCTTGGTGCTTGAGAAGGCAGGGTGGGTGCGATTTTATACTGGAGAAATGTTCTCAAGCAACCACAACCCGACCGCTTCCAACACCCGAACTGTCTACTGCCACCAGCGCCGCCCAAACTACATCGTTGCCGGAGATCTAAAGGGAGGAGGAATTTTACAAGGGAACACCCAACCTTGCTCAATTCCAGGTCTCGCGCACCCTTGAGAATCGATGGCTCTAGATACCACTTTGTTAAGCCCGGACTACTGTATGTTTGAGCACTACTCACAATCACACAAGAGCGAATTCGGGGAAGAACTTGGGGAATTTGGATTAAGGTTTGCGCCGCCAAGGCGAGTGATACAAAGCCAACCAAAACACGATGGCCTAGGATTTAACCCTATTACAACTTAGTTTCCTTCCCTCGACAAACCCCTGGCTTATAAGACATTGCAACTTACTAGAGGTAAAAACAAAAAGAAGAAAGGTAAAAATGCTTTTGCCGAAAAGCAAACAACGATAAGACGATGACTACTAGCCATCTGATCTGAGATCGACATCGGCACGAGCTCCTCCTGGCGCGAAGCGGTAAGTGAGTGTCCCAATCATCGAATGGAGATCTTGGAATTTGAATTCCCTTGAATTGGTACGCGGCGCTTAATTGACGAAGTGTTTAAAGTATTTGTTTCTTCAGTTAGGGGGCTGACAGACCCAACCCACCCCATTTGTCCATGGACGGCATGGGCTGACCCGCTCCCAAATCCATACACATGCATGCATGTGGATCACACATATATATTTGATAGCAACAAACATATGACATAGAATAGGACCGAATATACTAGAAAGTACTAGTTCATCATCACTACTTCATACTATGAGGGAAAATCATATCTATAATACCTAAATAGTTCATCCCCACTAACCTATTTCTCTTGACATGCAGCGTGTCCACCTTATCACTATGCCACATCATCATTTTTCTGTTTTTAGGCCCACGAATTCCATTCCATGTCCCCTTCCCTGCCAGTTAGGATACGGTCAGCTGGAGCTAAACAAAGAGATGGGAAACCGAACAGGCCACCAAAATCTGAACCCTTGACTCTCCCCTTCGATTTGTAAAAGCCACGCCTTCATTATCGGCCCGCCGCCTCCCGCACGATGGAGGAACCGCTTCTTTTCCCCGACTTAGGGGGTGTTTGTTTCAAGGGACATTTTTGTGTAGGGACTAGAAAAAGTCCCTCTTAGAGACTTTTTTACCAAACGGGAGGGACTTTTTAGGGACTAAACTAGGCATTTGGGACTAAATGAAGAAGACTTTCAAGGAGAGTCTTTTTGGGACTTTTTGAGACTTTTCCAACAATGCCCCTCCATGCACCCATTGGCCCGCCATCCCATGGTGTTGTTTAATTGTTATTTTTCTATATACCAGGGGCAACATGGTCATTTAATAACCTCTAGGAAGGGACTAGGGACTTTTTAGTCTGTGGAAACAAACAGGAAGAGACTTTTTAAGGACTAGAGACTTTTTAGTTGGGACTAGAAAAAGTCCTAAGACTAGAGAACCAAACACCACCTTACTTTCTTCCACATGGACTGTACTAATCCTTAACCTATCATCTCTCCAATTAACTCTCCCACCCATTGATTTCCATCACCATTCATCTCCCCCGTCAAATATATTCGGAGTAACAAATGGAGTTGTTCTTCCTTTAAGATTCCATCCTCACAACAACAATTAGAAGATTATAGGATGCCGGAGATGGTTAGTTTCATGTCCCCACTGCCGACGCCCATCGCTCGCTGGTACAGGTCTCGAGGAGGAGGCATAGCATGGAAGCTTCTAGAACCAATTGACCATCGATGGGACACGTCGGCTACGTCGCGCAACCACTGCATGTGGCGCCGTCTTCCTTATCCTACCTAACCCTGTTCGGCGTGGCCCAGATCATCAAGGTTTCACCACAAGGTACGTCTCTAGCGCCTGCCCCACCCAACATCGTCATATGGCTTTCTTATCTTGTACGTGTGTGCACAGGTAATTTTTTTGAAAAGAAGTGCACGGGTATAATGATAATCGTTGGGATGTTGTTCCTGGACTCGGCCGCCGACCACCGTAACATGACTCATCATTTCCCTGCGCTTACATGAAGGGTTGAACAGCCCCCTCTTCACCACCGTTGTTATCTATGTCTATTTGGTTAGCAATGTTTCTTCTCTTCATTATTCTAGCTATTCGAAATGTTGGATTTCCTGATATTTTGTCCTTGATCTGACAATGATAAGCAGTACCATTTTGATAAAAAGTTTGGTAAATACATCATTTGGTTCTTTCTTGGATCACCTTCAGTAGTAGTTAATTTTAACTCAAAATTGAAATCTGAAGACCACACATCTTGGTTCAGTTATTGATTAAAAGTACAGTACCTATGAGAAGAAATTGCAAGTTCCTTAAAGAACCTGCAGATATTTTTTGATTACATATACATGCATGGTGGTGATGTTGTTTTACTGTGAAGATCAGTGGCGGATAAACGATACTACAAGGTTACCATGATACAAGATTTTCTAAGAAACAAGAATATGTGAGTACATTTGTTTTTGGACATGGTGAATTAATTAGGAGGCGTCAACACAACACTCCTTGAGCACCAACAAAGCATTTCATGACGTGATACCTCGAGGTTGTTGTGGATGTGTTCCTTGGTTGATGTTGTACTGCTATCACCGACACATCCACCATAAAGATCGTCTCTCTTGCATGATGTATCACGGACATTTGCCCACCCTACATACTACTATCTTCCCTTCAACTGCACTGAAGATTTGTCTGTGACAAGGTAATTAACTACTATCTGATATTTGTCAAATTAGCCTCACTGTGCTATTTATTTTCTCCCTTCATGTACGTCCATCATACAAAATATGCTACTCGCAAGAAATTGGAGTTCCCGCCGCCTGCTGGCAAACCCTCTTGCTATTTATTGCGAAGTTATTCTATATGATTTGTTGATTATTATTTTCTCCATGCCTTCTGTGATTATGTTTGCAGATGAATGATTTTTTTGCATTATTTGCCATCCCATTAGTAGATGTTTATTGGTTGTTCTTTTGGGCAATTGTCAAATTGTGCTATCTGATTTCCTACATTGGAACAACAAAACATGTGGATGGTTATGGTACATGGAGGGCCGGCGTTTCATAATTCATTTTTTCATGCACGTCATAAAAAAAGATAACAACAGATTTTTGAGCAATTATTGAGCATTGCAGGTTGTTTCCCTAACTCTGGGATATCATACATAGTAATGTTTTAAAACATAAATTCCAATTGTCGAAGCACATTTTGTTTCACCGTCGTGCCTCACTTTCCTAGGAGATGTTGCAGCTTCCCCCCATCCACAATCTCATTGGAGTGGCTATGGAAGAAAACATTAGAATCGAATATAAGAGTATATTCTCCCATTGTAGTTTCTTTGATGAATCAAGATGCCAAGTTCAAACCAGCTTCCAATTGTTGCTTCGCTAGGAATAAAAAAAATATAAAATCATCTTAATAGGAAATATCTAAACAAGGTACAACCTACCACTATAGGGCCTTCATGTAAAAAATAGCATGCCAATATAAATAAATAAATAAAATTTAGTTTTGTTTATGTACAGTACTGCTTCCTTAGCAATTTAAAGAACTATATCGATGTATGCTATGCCTCTCTAGATGTTTGCAACATATATCTGAGCTGGCTGTTTAGGTGTGCTTTACCTGTAATATCATATGCCCATAGTCAATTCTTATGTCGATGCATTATTTTTCCAGTTGTTAAGATTTTGGCCACTCAAATTTAAACACTTTTTAGGTCAACATCCTCATTTGAAATGACTATAGGTTAACCAAGTGTACTAGAATCACTTCACCGCTCTTACAAGCAAACATAGCTACTTGGGAGAGGATTCGGTACACGTAGTCATAAATCTCTTTTATGTTTGTGCAAAAGCACATTCGTTTAACATTTCAAATGTAAATATCAATATTCCATTGTATCTCTAACATAAAAATGTAATCGCACCATTATACATTTCAAGCTATTTTTTTTCATTCATATGGTATATGTTCTTTTTTGGATCTGCTAATGAAAACTACAAAGTCCCGCAGCAACACGTAGGGTATCATCTACTATGCAATAGCGGCCCCAACCCTTGCCCTTTTTCTTTGTATTTGCCGTCGTAGTAGATGTCGAAGACAAGGTATGGATTGTTGGTGGGGTTAGAGGAGTCAAAGGAGATGACAAGGGGTAGAGTGTGCATGCATGTCTTTATAGGGTTGAGTGTATCGAAGGAGATGGCAAGGAATATAGTGTGTGTGCATGCCTTTGTAGGGTTGAGTGTATGTTCTGAGCATCTGCAATTGTCTTGTGTTCAATAAAAAAATCAAAAAACAAAAAACAAAAAAACAAGGAACCTTGTCAACCTGCTGCGCGGAGAACCACCACGAGAGATCCGGTTCCGTTCATTCGCATATCCACCCCATCTCTTTCGTGCCCGTCTCATCTTCAACAAGTCCCCGAGCCAGCCACGCTAACTTACATGCGGGCCCCACACATATGTATGGTCCCACCTTCATCCAGTAACCCACGCGCGCGTAACGTTTCTCGCCCAACCCCGTCTGTCCGTCTCCCTTCCCCGGAAGACGAATCACGAGCACACGATTCCCCCAATTCTTAACCCTAGAAACAGAGCGCAGGAGGGCCAGCCGCAACCGGGACAAAAGCGGAAACAAGCCAACCCAAGCCTCGATTCCTCCTCCATCGCCGCGGCAGAAGCTCGAGGTCCAGAAGGGAGCGCGAGAAGCTTGCGTGAAGGACTCAGCCATGGCGAGCGCGGATCTGCTGCGGAGGGAGGAGGAGTTCTACGAGTCCCTGTTCGATTCCGCCAAAGGTAGGTTATTTTCGCTCGAAATTGGTGGATCTCGGTGTTAGTTGTGTCCAAAGTTTCCCTAATGTGGTGCTCTTTTCCTGGATTTTTATTCCTGTCAACGCAGGCGATGCCGCTGCCGCCAAGACGCGTGGGCAGATGATTGAGAGGAAGATTGAAGCCTTGGAGGACATGGCAACCAAGGTGAGGAGCCTCGTCGTCGATGAAGTTACTGTACCTTATTTATTTCTTGTCAAGGGAGGTAGAGAGTTATGGTTTTTTCAAGGTTGGAAATACAAACCGTTAAATAATGGTGTTTCTTGTTTGATTCTTGTGAGAAGCGATTGAAATTAACAAAGACTTGCCATATTAGTCTCCTCGGGTGTGAAACCCTTAACTGGGAACAAAAATTTGATCCGTTTTATATGACCTGATACTTTTATGCGTATATATGTGTTTTGATATGAAATTATCCAAGGCTATATGATTAAGCATGTTATGATGGTTTACAATGTTACACAGGTTAGTAACCGGAGGTCTCGCAGATGGTTGAATGATCGCTTGCTGATTGAGCTCGTCCCTCGTCTTCATGTTGAAGAAATCAAAGGCCTCTTTGCCCCTCCGCCATTTGGTGAGCTCCATTGCTGCTCAAATTTGTTACAACATTTTGCAACCTGACCATAGAATGTGATGTTCTAAGTAAATCTGCACCGAGTACTCTAGTTTTCCATTTAAACCTACATGAATTGCATTAGGCGGTTTAGATTTTGTTGGGAAACATCCTTTTCTCTTTAAGGCATGCTCATTTTAACTTTTTATCGGTCGTGTTATGGCGTTAACTAATTTCTTTGTATTCATGAATTCATGATTCATCATGTGAATGATCTGTACTGTTCTTTCCGTGGCATGTTTTCCTCTAAGCGCTTATGTGGATTTTCTCATTTTAGTTGTGCTGCCATTTGGCATAGGCATCAATACATATATTTTTTATGTATTTGTTATGTTTCAAATATCTCATTTGTTGCATTTGACCAATTTTCTGCATGTAGGTGAGGAAGCACCACTGTCAGCATTTTGCAGGACAAGTGTTGGTGAGTGGGATGCCTTCAGGAGCATTGACATGGACGTTGAGGTATGTTAGCATCTGTCATGCCGATGTATGCTGTCCATCACTAGTCTGCAATATATTAAACCCAAATGCACAGACTACAGAGACATGTAAAATGTGCCTATCATATTGCCAGTATGTATGCATTGTTAATAGATCCATGACACTTGGCAAGTTTTATATATTTGCAGGCAAGATTTATGCAACGGATGAAACAATCCTCAGCTAAGCAGAAGAATCTTGTGAATGAAGATGAGTCAATTGTGCTGAATGCTTGGCGCCGTATAGATTGCCAAACAAGAGAAGCTATGAAGAGAAACTTCCTACCTGAACTGCTTGAAATATATGAGGTATGACCTTCTGCCTTTTGGTCCTACTTTCTTTAAACCTAGTCCGTTTTGTTTTAACAATGTTACATTATTTGTTTGTTGTTATAATGCTTAGAACATGTGTGGTGTCAAGACTTGGGAGTAAAAATAAAATTGTACTAGTAATATTTTGGTTGTGTAATGCTATGTAGCACATGAAGATAATTCATCTACTCTCCTCTGTTTGGTTTGTAGTTTTCGGAACTCCGAGCGCATATAGATTAAATGAATTATGCAAATGGAATCTGATAATTGTTTTTGTCAAACCGAGTTCAGTAGTTAAAACCAATTCGTGCGCTGCTTATATTAGTAAGTTCAAATTATGTACTTCTAATGGGCTTATGTATATGAGCTAGCAGTTTAGCACCATTATTCTGATGAAACAAAGAACATGCTGTTTTGACCAATTTGATTATACTTAGGATTGAGTAGGAAAATATTTGTAAGTGTTGACTGCGTTATGGATCTTACATATGGAGTCCTACTCACTGCTTGTAAGTTCTATCTATATCTGTTTAATACTTGTTGGTCAATAGTGCAGCCAGCTTAGATGCTCTGCAGAAAGTACATACTTGACTATATTATTCTTGAAAAGAAAGTATATACTCGAGTATCCATTTCTGAGCCCAGGCTCGTCTGCACCCGCGCTGAAGAAAAAAATCAAAACAAATACTAGAGAAATTCCAATTTTTTTGCATGGTAGATAATTTGATGTGTGAGGTCCGTTCCAATTTTCAGATCATTTGGGCACCTGAGCAGCTCTTGGCAAAAAAGACAAATTTGTGGCCTGTAAAAAAGTTTACTGTTCATGTACTGTTCTGACCCGATCTGTCTTTTTTGCTGAGAGCTACTCAGATGTCCAAATGATCTGAAAATTGGAGCGGACCTCACGTGATAAATTGTCTACCATGCAAAAAAAAGAATTTTTTTGTGAATTATTTTCTGACCGGGTGCAGATGAGCCTGGGCACCAAATCGCTGCACTCGTATATACTTGTCTATATCTGTATTATTTTGCTGCTGTTTAAGATTGCAAAAACCGTGCTCCACTTTTGCAGGAACGGATCAGGGCCTTCATTGAAGACACTACCGATAAAGATGTGCTTGTGTTGAATGTCCAGGACCCATTTCAGAGGTTGCTATTACATGGTGTGTGCGAGGTAAATGTTTTATCCTCAGCTGTGTAAGATCATCAGTTTTCTTGAGGAAAGAGAACCCAATCCATCGATTGCAAGGTTCCCGGTTTGAACCATGGTGTATTTGCACGCAGTTCTACAACGTAACGTCTACGACAACGGGTACTGTGCAAGATGGAAAGCCGTGGAAGACGACAACAATCAAGAAGCGTTCGGGGACGGGTGTTGCCCCCATGATCACATTGGTTAGTTTCCTGAGAACAAAGAAGAATGGGTCACACGTTGCCTCGTGAGGACTGGAAGCCCCATATTCTGGCCATGAGCCCATGATCATGCTCCTGGGAGAAGCAAAAGTTGTTTCTTTAGGTTTTGCTTAGGATGTACACAGATGTAAATTAATTACCAATTTACTATGCTTCGTCTAAAGAGGTGACAAGGCATGCAAGTGATGAGTCACTTCGCAGCCAAGCAAGTACTGTACCTGTTTCGCGTTAAACCTTACCTTACTGCCAGCTTACTGGTGGTGGTGCCAAACAATGGTTTTCAACTGACTTCTGATTTACATGGTTCAAATGATGTGTTGAGACCGTGGCCGAAGTTTGCGTGCGATGAGGATATTGTGATCTCTCACCTTCTCTGGTGGGGTGGCAAATGACGCACTGTATCACTTGTCACATCCAGAGAGTTTTGTATTTTTTTCTAGATCCGTTTTTTTCAAAACAGTTTATCTCTTGAACCGTGTGTCCAAATCTGAATCATTTTCATCATTGTGTTTATCACGTCGAAATATTCAAAATTAGATCACATGTTAAAAGGATTTCTTTTCTCAAAAGATACTGGAAACAAAAAAAGAGAACTGATAAAAAGAAACCGAAAAATGAAAGGAACCAGAAACCAAAAAAGAACATGAAACCATAAAAAGAATGAAAAAAAAAACCGAGAAACACAACCACGCTTCACACGGATGCACATTTTGTTCCACTTTTTTTGTTTGAGAAGCATATTTTCTTTCACGCAGAAGCATAATTGTGCTTCACGTGATGTACAAATGTACTTTTCACTTTTTGAACAACACAATTTGCACGTCAGACGGAAGCACAACTATGCTTCATACAATGAACAACCATGATTTTCACTCATGTGCTATTCACTTTTTAGAAAGTACTGTTTGTGCTTGAAGTGGGAGCAAAACTATGTTGTTAACTTTTTGAAAAGCACAGTTTGTGCTTAACACACTGAGAGTGCACAACTATTCACTTCTTGGAAAAAACATAGTTTATGTAACCACAATTGTACATTTACACGGTGCGCTTTACGCAGAGAAAAAAAACCAGAAAGTCATTTTTTCCCGATAAAAACGTAGGAAAAACATGCAAAACTGAAAACCCCCAAAATTTAAAATAATAATAAAACACGTGCAGAAAAGAAAACTGTGCTCCCGTGGCCAAAGTGCGATACATGACAGCAGCTTGGCACACTCCTACGCAGCTCGAAGCCCCCAAGATGTGCATCCGAGGGGGCACCCATCGGATAGTT